GCCACTTTCACCTACCTACCTGCCCACCTGCCTACCTACACACTTACCACCCCACACCTACCCACCTACCCACCTACCTACCTACCTACCTACCTACCTAAGCAGTATCCTTTCAACTACAGGCGGCACAGGCACAGATGAGGATGTCAAAGTAAGGATAAGAAAGGCAGCAAGACAGGCCTTCCTGAATTAATCCAATTTGGGGAAGTCATGCACCAGGTCAGGCTCTTGAGTGGAATCCAAATGGGAAACGACGAGTTGCGCATCCCGGCTGACGCTGACATGGAGCAGATCATATGAGGAAGAAATGAAGCCTTCTGGGTAGTCGTGGAGTCAGGTTAAAATGACTGCAGAGAAGAGAGTGAAATGACGACGTGCTACTGAATCTCTATGTTCCACTGGGAACCCAAAGTACAAATAATAATAATAATAGTAGTTGACCTATAGTTTATGACCATTTCTATCCTTCTTAACCATTGACCGACATGCTCATTTTATTTCAGTGAATTAAAGTAAATTAGATTTTGAGTAAAACTGCTTATTCTGGTATTGTAGGTTGTAAGCAGTTGACAAGGTAGTTAACTTACCCTCATCAATTGTATTGGTTCGCTTTACACGAGATGTTTGAGTTAATTTGCCATCTGACGGTAATCGTACTATCGATTGTTTATGATCTCGATTTGAAGTAATATTCAGTCCAGAACTATTGATCTCACTTGTAGCACTGAAATCTCTATTTTGTCGCATCGGATTCTAAATGAAGATTTTCAAAAATTCATGTTTCAATTACTTTTCACGTTAATGAATACAACATATTCTATAGATAATAAAAAGCTTAAAACCCGAAGCGAATACCAGCTATTCATTTGTCAATATACCTTATGAATTTACTTTAACCTCACATACTCCACTCATAATCTGCAGGTGGCTAACTTGAGGTTTATATCTCCTAAACCGTCATGGACAGACAGCATTCTCGTGTAGGATTACTTGTGTGGTGTAAAATATGCAGTCAACAACTTCAGTCCATTATCCTTATTAAGATACACCAATCTAATCCCTCAATAATATGGTGACAATGTCTACTTGAACATAGTGAATGCTGTATATGTTTGGTTTAGCTGTCAATCTATAAAAACCAGCTGCTTCAAGTTCAGCGTGTTCACTCTGACGACTACTTACGTGAAAATATTCATGAGTATTTGCGTGGTGATCTTCCTGATTGTGGTGGACTGGACCATACAACAAATTGTGAGGATCGAGAAGAGGGTCATACGCTGTTTGACCGATGAAAAGACCCTACATGATTTGGATTTTGCCAACGTGATGATGATTTTGTCTACTGTATTGTCACACAAACTCGAATATCTACAGGCGAAAACTAACAAGTTGACAGAAGACGCTGTGTAGCGAAGACGGGATTTCCTTCTGGTGAACGTAGAGAATACAGAGGTGATGAAGGTACTGAACCAACAACAAGTACCAATCACCATCAACGGGAGAAATCTAAACGAAGTTCTCTTTCACCTACCTAGGCAGTATCGTTTCAACCACAGGCGACACAGGCACAGATGAGGGTGTCAAAGCCTGCATCGGAAAGTTAGCAAGACAGATCCTCCTGCATTATCTGCAATCAGTGTGGAGATCTACCACACTCAGCATAAACAACAAGATCCGAACTGTCAACACTAATGTCAGTCAAGTCAGTGCTTCTATGTGATGGTTAAGAAAATTGGCGCGTTATCAAAGGCATTTACAAGAAACTACAAACATACATGAAGGGCTGCCGCCTATGTTCCATACTCAAGACCAGATGGCCAGAAAGAATAAGCAACAAAGAACTCACTGTGGCTGGCAACGAACCAACCAAGAAGTTATCACCCAACAGAAATGCAGAAGAGGAAATTGGAGATGGATTGGATTGGACATACACTGAGAAGACCGTTTGGGGAAATGACGCACCAGGTGAGGCTCTTGAGTGGAATCCAAATGGGAAACGACGAAATGGGCATCCCAGCTGACGGTGACATGGAGAGAGACTTGGCGCGTTTCGAAGAGAATTTCCAATGAACTTCAGACATACATCAACAATGCCATCTACCCTCGATACTGAAGATCAGATGGCCAAAATAGTAAGAATAAGCAACAAAAATCTCTGGCCTGGCAACGAACCAACCAAGAACCTATCACCCAACAAATATGTAAAAGGAAGTGGAGATGGATTTTACATATACTGAGAATACCATTCAGAGACATTACGTGCCAAGGCCGTGCCAAGCCGTCGAGTGGAATCCAAATGGGAAACGACGAGTTGGGCGTCTGACGCGAGGGTGACATGAAGGAGATCGTATGAGGATGAAATGAAAGGTAATGGGAAGTCTTGGAGCTAGGTTATGAAGACTGCAGAGAAGAGAGTGAAGTGGCGACGTGCTACTGAAGCGATACGTTCCACCTGGAACCCAAAGGATAAATAATAAAAATTAAATCTTGTTAGTACATGATACAGGCTTGTCGACCTTAGTTCACCTGAAATGCGGCTAAGAGGTCATAGTTTCTTATCGTGCATGGCAAAATATATGATTATTAGTTAATCAACGTGGGTTTATATAGTCAGATAAAAAGGAGGCAGAAACTAGTGAAATCATACTACATTCTGGTGTTAGTTTGCAGTGTATTTGCGTAGTAACTCATAAAAAAGATACGACTCGCTAATCAGCACAAGCATCATTTGATTTTAACTTCTTAGCTAGCACATTGTGGCTCTATTTTTCGCCAAGACAGAGGACTTTCTGCAGATGGTTCTCAGTTGTGAATAGAGCTATTGAGGTAAATGCTTTCACTTCTAACCACAGTTTTCATACTCGTTAGAACTCATCAAGGAAATAATGTCCTGTCAGAGATCGGAACATAAATCCCATATTGCTGCCCTCTCAAATGATAGAATTTGATCTGCAATTAGGACCAGAGTGCAGAAGGTAGGTTACTAATCTCTTAAAAGTGAATCACCACCGAATACCCTGTACCGCTTTACACGATGGTGAAAAAAGTATTTAGGAAGCTTTTACCTGCCGTAGTGTTTTTAAGCACTTTTCCAGGATCTCTGTCAACTTAGTTAACCGTGTCATACTCTACTGTTCTAAAAAGGCTGTAAGTAGGCTTACAACAAACAGTAGTTCTATAAATCAAGATTAAGTGCATCTTGGCAGAAGCTTGCTTGAACAGTAAAACTCAAAATCATTTTACGGGGTGTATTGAGGAATGAATACATGAATCCATGTGCCAACAATCACCAATCAATTCAGATAGAAAAAATCAACGTAGAACATTGTATACAACTGCACCATTTCAAGTTGCCACACCTCACAAGGAATAAGTGGATGAGAAAGAATGATTTTGAAGTAGGTAAAGTTGTCTGGGAGGAGATAGGATTCAAAATGAAGCTTAATCAAAACATTCAAGCTTTAGAAGACATCTATGCCATTATGACCGGTTTTTAACCATATCACCAAAAATCTTCAATCACTGATCCCTATCGTCTTGGGTACCCTACACCGCTCAGAACAACAGCCATGTAATTTATGAACTAGTGTCACGTCTAAGTTTGACCATCATCAGTAACAAGAAATAGCAAATCGTCATAGTATACCATACTCACTGCATAAATATTTTTCCCCTATCCTAAAAATTCAGTGAATATCTCATGAAAGGTGACAAAAATATATATATCCTTGTCCTTAAGATATATTTAAGTGAGTAGCCAAAAGTGAAAACAAATATGAAAATTTGGGGTAATGTTACTCTAAACTTAAAAAAAGTGTGTTTATATTTTCTGCATTATTCTTTGTCCAGTGAAAACTATCGAATAATTTAATACTGTATATATACTTCAGTGTTTGCAAGTCTCACTCCCTTTTTGCTCAAATTTATCACCTCAGATGTTGCTGTTGTTTTGCACTAAACCTGACGCACCTGTCGGTCATGACTTTATACAAATAGTAGCTTCATTGCTGCTTAATATCTTAACACTTACAAAGTGTAAACCTGGTATACTGTTATTCTTTCTGTAATTGTTTCAAGTTACAATAAATATCATGAATTACATTAATATAAGAGTTAAACTTGGCCACTGTGGTAGATTGTAATTCCATTTTAGTCTGTTCATTAGAAATGTCACACACAATGAAGGAACAGTATCATTTACTGGATAATATTTCGGACATAATTTATTGTCCATATGCGTATCACGTGAATATCCAATAATTGATCCGTTTTCACTGTATGACATTTCTAATAAACACTCTTAAATGGAATTATAAATTTCAAGTGACCAAATAAATTGCCTGTTGTGAATAGGTGAAGGAACTGATTTGACGTAGCGATTAATTCGTAATCGAACTAACTTTAGACTATTCATACAATTTCAGAAAGTGTTCAACAATGATGGCCATAAAGTGATATTGCAGATGAATAAAACAAACATTTCCACTTCAATTTATCTCCTACTACATTCAAATTAGATTGAAATTGAAAAAGTGGAATAAATGTAACAAAGGCTTTCTCCTTTTTGATGGATTTAAGGAAAGCAAAAATTATGCTAAATATCAGAAATGTTGAGCCACTAGATAAATAACTATTCTTTTATTGGTTGACCAGCCAAATAAAAGACCAATAGGATAGTTAATCAATTTTCTTGTCTATAAAATGATTGGTTTATTTAACATTGTTGATCGAATTATGTCGATAGACAGTAACACATGGCAAATGTTATACACATGCACTAGAAATCAGATGAATTATTTAGAGTATTACTCACCGTTTTGACAGGTTAACAATAGTTAGTCGAATATATTCATTGTGGAGCAGTTCCTTTCACAGTGAATAAAGCATCACTGCAAAGTGTAATGTACTCTTAATACTCTTCCATATTTTCCCTAAAACAATTCAGTTACCTTATGCAGCTGACAAGATACACCAGAATCTATTGGAAATAATTTAGGAAAATGGAAACAATACAGGAGAATGTAAGTTGTTTTCAATGCTAGATGTGTCACTTTTGTCGTCAGTTATATGTTTTCTATTTATGCTTTGCAATAGGTAAAGTTCGATTTTTGTTATGTATGGTTAATAAGCTATTAGAATTTGTGTCATTACAACAACAAGGGTGTATTTACCACCACCCTACCTTACGTGTTAGCGGTAGTTCTTATTACAAATAAGGGCTTAGTTAAGGGTTAACTTAGTGAACACCATCTGATAATTTTATACATGGTGCTCATAATTAGTTTTGAAGCATGGGTTTCATTCTCACATTTATGAAAAGTCTCGTTGCTTCATAAGGCTGTTCCACGTCTCCGGAATAGGTTCTGTATTATTCTCAATACAAATGTTGATTTCATCAACAAAGACTCACTAATCGATCTCTCCTTATCATATTACCTCTAGGTTTTTGCATAATATAAGGTTAAATGGTTTTAGGCAATTAGCGAAACATCATAGACCTCATCACCACTCATTAGTAAGGCCACCTTGAGAGAACAGACAGTCACTATGGTTAGAGGGAGACAGAAAGTGATGACTGAATCTTTATTCATCAAAACAGAGTCCAGCACATGTAACAGGCTGGATGCAATAACTGCCTCGTAGATACTTGTCCACTCCCGTTTACCGTCGTGCGGTCCTTGCTACTCTTTAGAAAGTAGAACACACGCATATGATCATCTGAAAAGACAAGACATGGTTTCAACAAAGGAAAATTTTCTTTTCGACGAAGTCATTTACTAAGCTGTACATTCGTGAATATATGTTACGGTGGGTAGAATGTTCCAGAATTGTTACCTGTCAGGGGGCACAATATATTGAGTAACTAAAGGAAGTTAATTAATACACATTTGTGTTTAGAGTGAGAAAATAGATAGCGGATTATGAAACTAAATGTAATTACATAATGCAGGGTGAATGTATGGCAAAGTAGGGAACTAAACAGAGGGTTATGAAGATAAAATTGCGATAATGTAGTACCGGATAAACCCATGATAGAGTATGAGAATAAACAGTGGATCATGAAAATACGTTTGCAATTACGTAATGCATGTTCAGTCTGATACAAAATGAATCTGTGGCCGACAGGGCTTTATGATGGCCATGGGAAAGATAAAAATTGGACGTACCTTTTTTCCATGCCTAACGCTGATTTGAACTTCTGGATGGCTAGTACTTCAGCTATAGACTGATGCCTTGATTTTACTCCCTTCGAGTGGTTTGATCGAACCCTGTAGATAATTTTGAATGAGCTCTCGAAGGGAGCTAAGTGGCCTGAGTTCATGAGGTGTTCTGTTATCGAACTGAAGTTGTATCTCTGTTCATAATCCCCTGTCTATTTTCCCACTCTAAACACAAATATGTATTAATTAACTTCCCTTAGTTACTCAATATGTTTCGTAGATGTAGAAGATTCTACTAACATTAGAAACAAAGAATATGAGTTAACAGAATAATTAAAACTAGATTTCCAAAGGTAATATAATGAAGTTGAGGCTAATGGGATTTTAATTTTAAGGTAGTATTCATTACAGACTGACATTATTTGGAGGATCATTGAAAACCTGGGAGCACTGGACAACTTTTCTGTCTTAGCATAAAACTCCACGGCAGTACGCACGCACGACTCCACCAGGTATCAAACTTATGACTTCGAGGTTTGACGGTGAACGCATTAGGTATTCAGCCACTGGATCAGATTTCAGTAGTCTACATTTTCCTTCTTCTGTGACTTCACGATATGGTCTATCTGAGCGTTGCCCTGAGTCCGATCCCTGGTTGGGTCGTGAGTACGTACTGCTGAGGAGTCCCATACTTAGACGAAAGATCTTTCCAGTGCTCTCAGGTTTTCAATGGTTGTCCAGCTGATATGAATCCCCGATGAACGCTACCTCAAAATTCTACTATAGCTTTTGAAGTTTACCAGCAAGTTGTCTGTTAAACAAATAAAATAATTATTCACGTAAATGGCTAGTTACAAAGCTAGTTATTCTGGGAAATAATTATCTGTCATTGGGATAGAAACATGCTGATGTTCCTTCATGAGCTCTGTAACGCAAAAGTATTCAAGACAATTGATTAGAAACGCTTATACCTTCGATGATAGAGGGGTAGAACTCAGTTGTCATTGAATTTGTGAAATTTTAAATCAGTAGAGACAGTTAAGTTAACAGGTGATGCATTACAGAATACTTCAGTCTTTATTAGAAGTGTAGAAATATCTCTGGACAGGTAACCGACTCGAGATTGTTAAAATCTAACTTGGTTACAAGATCACTTAAAGTTTACAAAAGATATAACTTTCAGAAAGTCTTTCACTCTTATACGTTCGCAGATTAGATGTGGTTGTAAACTGATGTTAATGAGTCAATCATTAGATAATTCAAATTTAATTTTCATCAAGAACTGACTGACAACATGTAGACGATCAGTAAGAAAAGGAAAGTATTGAACTTTTTTTGTTTTTCTGTTTTTCATCGATGACCTTATAAACGATCATGCTGAGGTACTTTAAGTCTGAACAAGGGAAAAAGGGGGAGAGTGATGTCTTCTATTCACTGGTAAATCAGTTCGCTATCATTTTTCAACCTTCATCAACTATAGATTTGTCTCGTTCATCATCCTATGTCATTGAGAATTAAAAATAAATGATCATTAAGGCTGAAATCATCAAATAGGTATTTCAGTAGTATGTGGTTGCAGGAATTTCAAAGGGATGCAAAAATAAACATGACGATGCATATATATGAGATTCAAAAATCGGTTAACGTAATCCAAGAGCTAAATGTTGGGGGTAAATTCAATAAAGTAAACGAATATTAGCCAACAAAATAAACCATTATGTGATTTTTGGGTCAGGTGATTATGATGGCGGCTGCACTGTCTGTGAAGAGTCACTACCGTAGTGTATCCATCCAGATTATTATGTAAGTGTCAATAGTATAGCGCTTGTCACTATATTTATCTCTCAAGCGTATTACTGTCCTTACATGATAGATCCAACTTGTGAATGATGTATAAAAAACCTGTTGGTAAACACCAGTCCATAGTTAAGAATTGAGCATTACTGTGGTGGAAAATAAAAGCCTCGAATTTTGAGGTACCTAAGTCCTTGTTTTGTTGTGAAACACGCCTAAATGAAGACATTTGAAAAAAAAACGATAAGGTGCAGCTTTCTATTTAAGTTAATTTTAACATGTATCAAAGTGAACGTGTTATTTACTGGATTTGCTTTTCGGACACAGTTTGTTGTTCATAGTCACAGAAAGGTAACTCCAAAACTTTGAGATAAAGTTTATATAGTTCTATTTCTGTCTCATTCCTTGTTGTATAAGCAGTAAAGTTTAATATATATCTAGAATAAGTTATAGGTGGTTCGCATTTCACGTATTCGGTATGAATTTGATACACAAAGACTCAGTTATTAAGTTCTCCTTCCACTCCGATTAGTTAGTTTTCATAACTGATACTCTATCCTATCTTACTGTTTGGTTTTGTACAACCACATGCATAGCTATAAACTAAAACATTGAAAAAAAATCTCATCAGATTCTTCTCCTTGCAAATCTAATGTTGTTGACAATACAACAAATGAATACTCTTATGCAAACTTTGGCATTAAAGCCAGATTAAGAGCTCAACAAACTTATATATTCTTTTGAACATTCTGTCTTATTTTCTTCAGGAAGTAGGTATTATAAACCCTTCTACTGAATGATTGCCTATCAGAAGAAAGAGTAGTTTATCGCCCAACTTGTCATCACTTAATTTTATGGGATACTTATTCACAAAACATGTAATGTAAGATCATTAGGCCGTGAGTCATTTATTGAACAACACACAGTAATTTAGGGATCACCAACTAGTCAAATACCTTGTACTAATGTGCCATATAAATATGTCATTAAATCTGTAAGAGACTAGTCGTGGGTTGAATAGCTCAGCAGTAACATCTTTGTCTGCAGCACTGGGTCATACGGGATCTCGTTTACACCTTAGTTGTTAGTGATAACAAGCATAAAATCGGTGTCCTTCTGATTGCCTTTAATCATTCAACATTACCATTAAAGTGCTATACAAACTATCATCTCAATGTCCATTTGAAATGAATTATTCTGTCTATAAGTCACAAAGCACCATTTAATGCTCAAAAATGAAAATGTTCTGAATAATCTCAGGAAGACAAACAAGAAGCATAAAATTAGTGTTACATTGTATTGTTTTCCGTCCGTAAATCTTCATTAGGATACCAAAGTTGTATACATGTTTTAGTTTCGTAATTCTTTACAGTGGCTGTGAGAATCTCTGGTTCAGTAGTTTAATTGCTTCTTACGCTATCTTTTACGTATAGAAAATTTTTTCGGAAGCAATACAAGGATATACGAATGATACTTTTAAAGTTGTTCTACAAAAGTTAGCGCACTTTCTATTGATAAAAACTCTCTGAATCATATTCAAACTATCATGAAGATAACAGTAACGATGGAAAGTGGTTAGCAGTGGGATCCTAAATGTGCGTCTCGTCTTGTTTGAGGCTCATCAGCTGCATGTACCTGCCTCCCAGTGATTGATGTCGTTGCACAAGAAGTGGCTTTCGTGGCTCGGCGGTGTAATGGAGTTTGAAACGATCGGTCCCGAGTCCGAATCCCGGTGGAAACAACATCACTTACTGGGAGGCAGGTGCATCCAGCAGACGAGTCCCAAATAGGACAAAACGCCCATCCTGGATTCCACTGCTAGCCACTATCCATCATTACTACAATTAGAAACCACTGTTAATATCAAGGCATCCTCAGAGGAGCCCACATGCCAATAGAGACCGATCAATTCGGTCCAATCCACGACGGTATAATATAAGCAATAATACAATCATAAAGATTTTTCACAAGTGTCACATAACAGTTAACGTCAGTTTTAATTCTCAAAAGTGCAGATATCAAAGGTGGACATGAACTGTCATTCTGTAATAAAGAACTCCATAGCAACCTATAGAATTCAGAAGACTGATTCCGGACAAATTTATTGCCTACAGATACAGACAAAGTAAATGGGGTTGTGAAAAGGCCTTAAATCTAGTATGCTTTCAGAAAGAAATTGTAGTTCATCTCTGCCATGGTAACTGTTATGTATTCATTTTAGTATTATTATTATTTAGATACTATCAGACATCATTTCTTCCATTTTTACTATTTGATGCTCTTCATTGTTTCACTTTAAACTGTGGGTTTGTTTGATCCCCTTACTTATCTAACCCTTACAAAACGACGTTATTCATATCTGCCTGTATTGATTACTTCTCTATAATTACATCCTTATTCCCATTTAGGAATTGGAATAGAGGAACAGCAGCGACTGAACAGAATAACATGGTACCACTTTACACTGATTAATTACTAGAAGGCAGCTAATTTCACTTTGTCTCGTCCTGAGTGCTGACCGAAATCTAGAAGACTCACCATCGAGGCGCACTTTGATGGATGTTAGTTATTGGTTGGAGGTTATGTGTAGGTAACCATACTTGATCATGGTTTCGTGTTTGTTAGCGCTCGTCAGCGTGACGTGTTTGCAACTGTAAGGGGACTGGTGTCTCGTCTGAGGTTTGAACTCATGTCACCCAGTATTGCAGTCAGCGACGTTACCAATGGACTGTTCGACCAACGATTGACCTTCTTTAGGAACGAATTAGATACATTGATTGTTTATTAGACACTTTGATGGCCACATTGCAAAATGATGGTTAGAATTCGGTCAGCAGTCAAGACTGGACAACATGACGTTAGTTACCACGCTGTGGCAAATAACTGTACACTACTAACTGATAGAATGTGTTACTTTCACAGTTATTTAAGCGATTTTGTTACTTTTCAGCTGTTGAAATTTTCAACTGTAAAAAAATCTAAGAAGCTGTAGAAAGTAAAGTATGTATTGCTTAATCCTTTATGTCAATCTGATGAGAACAGACGATCCGTTCTGATTTTCCTGCATGGAACTTGTATTTCAACTGGATTTCTGAATATCAGCTGCTCATAAGCTCATTCTATGTTAAACCGGTGACAAAGCATGATGATGAACTCTGCATGTGACTCAACGCATACTATCTTAAACTTCAAATTTACGTATTCATTAGTCCAACTCAATATAGGTTCAAAAGATGAGCAGATTTTAAGCTTTCTTATTACATTTTTCACGATTTGTCATAATTTAAATGCTCAAATACCACTATAACAACGGTAATATAAATTTGTAAACTTTGAACTACAAAACTCATTTTCTGGTTCTGCTGAGTTCAAGAAAAATAAAATGAATATTGGCAAAACATTTTGGTGCCTAGAACAAAAGATTACGTAATAATGCTAACAAGTAGGTCGGTCGATGATAAGTAATCAATAAATTATGCATTATGAATTAGACTCAACTAGATGATTATCAACATTTTGTGCAAACAGAAAATGGTTCATTGAAAAGGTGATATCAGAAAATAAGTGAAAGAGTAAGGGATAAGGTTAATAGGTCAGAGCAAACCTGATCACTGATTTTTTTGAACACAATTCCGGCTTCAACCTCAATGAACTTCAGAAGGCTTGGTTAGACTGTTTATTGACTACCGTAAAGGATTGGAACGCGTCCACTTCATATACTGCATCGATAGGGTACCACGCAACTACACTACTGAAAGCATTTTTACCCTCAGACGTAAACTTTTCAGCCCGTGTTCTAAGCATCTAAGGTTTTCTCCGTCTTCTTAATGTAACTGCAGTCGCTGATACAAGTAAACTTGTACATACAATTACAGGCAATATGAGTAGGAAACCTGTCGGCTTTTGACTGTATCATGGAGCAAGTTGCTCAGTAGAGAGTTTAACTTGGCTGCAGGATATGTCTTGTTTATTGGGGCTTCAGCTATCGATTTATTCTCCCTGTTTAATAGTACTTGTCTAAACCATGTGATTTTTGCTGACTCACTTCTAACTCTAACTTTGCACGCGGTTACTTTCTGGTATACTTGACACATATCGTATGCACAACTACGCACACGATGAGCGACCGGTTGCGTCCTTCCAACCTCGTACAACAGGATACAATCTTGTGGTTATTGTCTGTATATATGTTGGCAGTCTGAATCATTCGCTGTCTGTGATGCACCATAATTCATAAAAATGAAAGTCAGTTTCACGCGCACGAAATGGGATGAAACACAATAACTGATTTACTCAATTTCTTACTCATCCATATTTAAGGTAATTAATGTACTATAGAAGCTGGAAAAAAATTGCCATAATTAACTCTTTAGTTTTTTCTAGTTACCTATTGTAAGACTAGGTTTCATTAGAATAAGCAGGTAGCACGTCTCCATTGCACTCTGTTCTCTTTAGTCTTTTCAACCTGGCTCTACGACTCCCAACAAGCTTTCATTTCTTCCTCATACTATCTCTTCCATGTCACCCTCGGACGCCCAACTCGTCATCTCCCCTTTGGGTTCCACTCTAGGGCCTGGCACATGATGTCCCCGAGTGAAGTTGTTGATTATCGCCTTGGAAAATGAAACAAGCAAAGATACGTCTTAAATATTATCCTTGATAATGTCTCTCTTTGAACTGTTACTTAGATTGTTTTTTCGTATTAAGAAAATATTTCTGCCTAGCAGCTAATAGATGAGAGCTTTTTATGTTCTGCTATTCAGTCATTCGAATAAATAGTTAATCCATAGTGGATGATTGGAAACCGTTATAGTTCTATGTAAAGCACAGAATATATTAAAACGGTTTAGGAACTGCTTTTATATTTTAAGCTGTGCTGTTTACTTCTACAGTCCCAAACTGTCTCTGACTTCTGGCTTCATTTTCGTCGTGTCTAAAGCCGACTTGGTTTCTGCTTTTTTTGATTCATTTTCGTTGACTCTCAGTCAAGGCATGTTACACACAGTTCAGTGAGCGAATGAAAAACAAGTACCTTGTGTAATGAAAATGAAGGAATTATGAGATACCTGATGTACTTTGACAGACTACCTAAATAGCGTTAAATAAGAAATATGTTCACTCAGCTGTTGACGAGTTGCCAGTACCTGACAGTATTTTGTTACAGTCTCAGTTAGGATTAGTGATTGAGCTTGTTGATAGATGTTTTCGGTAAACTTCGAAAATTTGAAATATTCACCACTTTTCAATTAAAATCCTTTCCTCATCTGAACATACCTTTCTATTTTAGCCCAATGATCCAGCACCGAAACCACTTGTTTCCTGCTTGAAAGTGCCATCATTCTGCGTGGAACCTTACAGATCCTTATCTGCTGCAAATGATATCGAGCCAATATACAGCTTTAGTAACATTAATGGCGACGATGTCGAAGTTGAAATTGACCTGGAGAAGTTATCACCACCATTACCACCAGATGGAGGTTGGGGTTGGTTTATTGTGTTCGGAAGCTTCTTGTGTATGGTACTTGTTGATGGAATGTGTTTTTCCTATGGAATATTTCTCAGTGAACTGGAAGAAACATTCGGTGCCTCAAAAATGCAGATGACATTAGGTGGATCACTGCTGACTGGGTTCTATTTTATGGTCGGTGAGTCAATAATTTGAATGTTAACACTTTGAACACTTCTAACCTAAGTTCAAAATGCTTTTTAAAAAATCTGTCTTATCAATATGTAGCAGATGATTGTTTTTGATTAATCGGTTTAAGTTTCATAAACTTTATTACCATCAACACGTTACAACTGAGAAATGTACATGAAAATTTTAGTATAAAATTGAATCATTTTCTAACTGATATATGAACTTTTGGGAAGTGCATGAGCTCTCATATTTCTCACTGTCTAATCACTAATTATTATTTTATTATTAGTCCCTTGGGTTCCTAGTGGAACATAGGGCTTCAGTAGCACGTCTCCATTTCATCCTGTTCTCTGAGATCTTTTGAACCTCGTTCCACGACAGCCCACAAGCTCTCATTTCCTCCTCGCACGACCTTCTCCATGTCACCCTCGGACGTCCAACTCGTCGCTTCTCATGGGGATTCCATTCGAGGGCCTGACGCGTGATGTCCTCAGTCGGCCTTCTCAGTGCATGGCCAATCCATCTCCACTTCCTCCTGCATATTTGTTGCGTGATAGGTTCTTGGTTGGTTCGTTCTCAGAGCTCCTTGTTGCTTATTCTTTCTGGCAATCCATCTGATCTTCAGTAGCGAGCCAGCGTAAGCAGTTGTTGATGAATGTCTGTAGTTTACTGGAAATGCCTTTCGTGACGCGCCAAGTCTCTGAACCATACAGGAGCACTGAGTTGAATGACGTTGGTGTTGAAAATCCGTATCTTGTTCCGCATGCTGAGTGCAGTGAAGCAGATCTCCACACTGGTTTCAGGCTAATGAACACCTGTCTTGCTTTTCTGATTCTGACTTTGACGTCCTCGTCCGTCCCGCCTGTAGTTGAAACAGTGCTTCCTAGATAAGTGAAGGAGGTTACTTCCTTTAAGTTTCTCCCGTTGATGGTGACTGGAGTTTGTTGTTGTTGTTGTTGTTGGAGTTGTTGGTGCGGTATCTTCATCACTTCTGTCTTCTCTATATTCACTTGAAGTTCTGTCTTCGCTGCCTCTTCTATCAACTTGTTAGCTTTTGCCTGTAGATCTTCAAGTTTGTGCCACAAGACATTAGACACAAGTCATCACTGGCGAAATCCAGATCTTCTAGGTTCTTTCCCGCCGTCCAGCTGTTGTATCCCCCTCTTCTCACAGCTCCCCACTGTTTTCTGCTGTATGATCCAGTCCAGTCGACCACAATCAGGAATGTCATGGGTGATAGTAGACAACCTTGTTTCACTCCTGTCCAAACTTCAAAAGCATCACTGAGCTTCCCATTGTGAATTACTTGGCATGTGGCATCTTCATATAGTTGTTGAATGAGGCGGATAAAGGTTTGCGGTACTCCGTAGTATTGAAGCAGTTTCCAAATTACTTCTCGGTCGACGCTGTCAAAGGCCTTCTCAAAGTCGATGAAGTTGAGGTAGAGAGCTGATTGCCATTCTATGCTCTGTTCTATGATGAGATGATGCGAAGCGTTGCAATTTGGTCCGCACATGATTTGTACTTCCTGAAGCCTGCCTGTTCCGGTCGCAGTTTTGAATCCAGTGCATCTTTAAGCCTCTCCAAGATGATGCGGCTTAATATTTTACTTGAGGTGGACAGGAGAGTGACTCCGCGCCAGATCTTGCAAGCACTGAGGTCTCCCTTCTTCGGGAGTTTGACAAGGTAACCCTTCTTCCAATCGTCAGGTACCTTCTCTTCCCTCCACACCTTCTGCAATAGTGGTGTGAGCATGCCCGCTGTTGTCTCTGCATCTGTTCTCAGTGCTTCTGGCGGTATTCCATCTGGTCCTGCTGCTTTCCCGCATTTCAGTAGCTTTATGGCGTTCAGGACTTCCATTTTCGTTGGGTGATTTATGTTCACCTGTAATTCAGCGGCTGCAGGTGGTATTTCTGGACGAAGTGTAGGTGGTGGTCGATTCAAGAGCTTCTTGAGTGGTCGGCCCATTGTTTCCTTTATTTCTCTTCTTTCGTAATTAAATTTCCTTCTTCATCTTTTATTGGTTTCATCTGTGTTGGTCTCTTCCCTGATAGCAACCTGGTTATTTGATACAATGTCGTCAGGTCTCTCCTACCAGCAGCCTGTTCTGCTTCGCTTGCCAGTGTTTCGTAGAAGTGTATTTTGTCTTTGTGTGCACTCTTCTTTACTTCTTTGTTCAGTGTTTTATACATTGTGCTCAGTTCCTCTTGTCGTTGAGCATCCTTGTACTGGTTTATCTTCTGCTTCACCATCCTCCTCTCCTCTATCAGCTTCCAGGTATCCGTCGAGATCCATTCCTTGTCTTCTTTCTTCTTCCTTCCTAATACTGTTGTGCAGGTTTCTTTCCACATAGCTTTCAAAGACTTCCAGTGTTTTTCTACACAGGTTTCTTCAGGGATGTTCCTCGATATCTCCCACTTAGTCTTGATGGCTGCCTTGAAGATCTCCTTTGTAATTTCATCCTTCAGTTTCCGAGTGTTGTACTTGAATTGAGGTCTATCACCAGCTTCCTTGAAGGCTTTTAACTTGATTTGGAAGGTTCCTTGCACTAGATAGTGGTCTGAACCTACATCTGCTCCTCTTCTTGACCTTGTGTTAAGTAGACTGAGTCTCCATTTTCTTGAGATTGAGATAAAGTCGATTTGATTTTTAATGTGTCCATCTGGTGACATCCATGTCGCTTTGTGGATATCTTTGTGCCTGAACACACTGCCTCCAATCACCAAATCGTTGAATGCGCAGAATTCTGCAAACAATTCTCCATTCTCATTCATTTCACCTAGCGCCTCTCGACCCATGGTTAGTTCTCTTCCTGTGTTGTCCCCTCCCAGTTTGGCATTCATGTCACCCCACCTATTAGAATTTTGATATCGCCAACTGAGGTCTTGTCCAGTGTTGATTAAAGTTGTCTGTAGAAATCCTCCTTTTTCTCTTGCTCTGCATTATTTGTAGGTGCATAACATTGTATGATTGTGGCCTTTCTTCCTTTTGAGTTGAATCTTGCTGTCGTGATCCTGGAGGAGATTGGTTCCCACTGCATGAGAGCCTTCGATGCTCTTGAGGACATCATGATAGCCACTCCCTCAGTGTGCTCGTGGTTGTCGTCTGGTTGACAATATCGGAGTAGATTATTAATTCTCCAGTTGACAGTTTGGAGAGTCCACTCCCATTCCATCTGCTTTCGCAAATCCCAAGCACTTCGATGTGATACCTTCTCATCTCCTTTGCAATCTGGGCTGCCTTACTGGGTTCAAACATCGTGCGGACATTCCATGTCCCCACGTTTACTTTCGCTTTCATCGAGAGGAGAGAAGACACATCGGCCAATTGGCTTGCTGACGGCTTTCACCAACTGGCGTCATTTCGCCTCTCCAATTCCAGAGAGGAATAATTTTGTTTTCATTTTTTATATTTTGTTTGTGCTTCGAAGTTTCTTTAGCGGTTAGATTTGTTTTCTGGGCTAGGGTTGCTAGCCCTATGCTCAACCTTCCCTGTATACCCGGGCTTAGGACCGGCTAGTAACTAGTGAACTAGTTAACCAGGCGAGGTTGTCTAATCACTAAAGATACAATTAAATAACACAACGTCATGAACACTTTGTATTGGGATGTTGTTTAGAGTAGTATATGAATAATATCTATCAATCTGGTTACCAGCTATATTTCCTATCTCAAGACCTAACTGATGACCTAAAATATGCGGATAAATATATTTAGTTTTACTCTAGCTCCAGCATGACTGAAATATTGGGGAACAAAGCGATTCAGTTTGTTAATTACAATATTTTTTCTGAAGTCAGACAATAATAAGCGAGAAAAAAATGAACACATTCTGAGAGCCTGGATCCTTACGTCAAAGGAACTAGTAAAATTTATGAGCCTCAAAGTAAACAGGCATGTGTTTGAGATGAGTGTGACTATACCAATGAATCCTTGTTTGTTTAGGTAAAACTAGTTTATTTTTCATAAACGTAAGTAATTAGTTTAAACATGATGAGTTTGAGCATAATTATTATTGATAACTAGGTGTCAGTATAGGGGAAATTTAGATTTGAATGGGTTTTTAACGGTTTTTCCAAAAACATAGATTGTTGACAAACTGATTTAAGTAGTGCTAACTGATTACAAGTAGTTACCCGAACATTTTGAAACCAAGTTCATTTTCTCTTGTCACCTTTGTTGGTTTTGACAAATCAGAACGTTGAATATCGTAATAAAACTGACTGGCACCAAATAATTTGGGTAGCGGCTGACTTCCAGTAGGAAGTGTACTAGTATGTACCTGAGCGTTAACCTATGCTACAGTATCTGGTTGTAATCTTATCTTTCTAGTTTGTGATGCGTTCACTCACACATATTATCATTATCATTATCAGTAGCACCTCACAATTTCACTCTCTTCTCTGTACTCTTCCTAACATGGCTCCACGACTGCCCACAACCTTTCATTTCTTCCTCACACGATCTCCTCCATGTCACCCTTGCCTCGGATACCCAATTCGTCGTTTCCCCTTTGGGTTCCACTCGACGACCTGGCCTGAAGCGTAATGTCTCTGGATGGTCTTCTTAATGCATGTCCAATCCAATCCATCTCCACTTTCTTCTGCATATTGGTTGGCGATGGGTTCCTAGTTAGTTCGCTGCCAGACCAGAGTTCCTTGTTCTTTATTCTTTCTAGCCATCTGATCTTCAGTATCGAACGAGCGTAGGCGGCGGCTGTTGGTTGATGTGCATTTGTAGTTCGTTAGAAATGTTTTTCGTAACGCGTCAAAACTCAACCATCACATAGAAGCACTGACTTGAAATTGGCGTTGAAAATCCGGATCTTGTTCACGCTTTATGCTGAGTGCAGATTGCAGATTAATGATGGGTAACCTGTCTTGCTGTCTTTCCGATGCAGGCTTTGACCTTCATCTGTGCCTGTGCCGCCTGCACTTGAAACGATGCTGCTATGTAGGCGAAAGAGACAACTTCCATTAGATTTCTCTCAGTGATGGTGATTGTTGCT